ATTCGTAACCACTACGCTACCAGAGCTCCTTTATGGGAGCATAAAGCCTCACCTTTCTCCCGTGGAACAGCTGGTAGTTTTGAACTGCTGACCTTGCGGTTCGCAGCCCGATCCGTAACTACTGCGCTACCAGAGCTCCTTATTAATACTAATAGGACTGCTAAAATTAACTTGAGTTGAGGACACCCTCTGCTCTGTAAATTGTAGCATTGACACGATGCTTTACTAATTCTCTTCTGGTTTTTCTCCCAAACAGCTTTGAAAAGTCCAGCTGCATTTCATGAACAGAGAAGGAGCTTGGAGCGGGCCAGGGTAAGGACCTTTCTTCTCCAAGGACTTCCTGAGAGCATTCCTGGACTTGTGGCATTGCTGGTTCTGCTCCCCTTCAGCAGCCTAATGTTGGAGTCAGCCCTTGCCTCACAGTTCTGAATAGAACCTTTGGCCCATTCCCAGGGTGGTTTTATGGAGTGTGACCCCTATGAGTTTTTTTCTTCAGCTGTTTAGGGATATGGAGAAACCACTAACTCTGACACATAAAAAGATATGCATCTTTTTCTCCACTTTGCTGTGGTTGATGGTAGCCTATGAGCACCATCATGGACGTTTGCTGAGTGGCGGCCCGCAGCCGCTTTGTGTTCAAGGGCTCCATCTGCACTAAGCAGGTCTGGGTTAGTTGGGCTATACTCAGACCCCAGGTCTCCTGCTGCAGCATCTTGCTTATTAACACTCCCTGCTTGGGTTTCAGTTCCCCCAGAGACCTGGGAGGTATTCTTTTCCTAATTGGGGGAAGGGGGGGCCATAGGGAAGTCACCAAAACATGCATTCCCTCCTACCTTCTGTGCATTTTTCTTTTACACAAAAGACAAAGGATGAGAACCACCCCAGAAGGAAGATTAGATAGAGGCCAGAGCTCCCTGAAGACCCACACCTCTTTCAGAATTTCTGAAAGCTTTACCTCCAACATTGTTCTTACATTCTTCTATTTATTTTTTTTTAATATTTCACTGGTTTGGGTGAAAGTTTACTAAACACATTAGTTTCCCGTTCAATAATTTATATACAATGTTTTGTGTCATTAGTGGCTACATAGCCCCTCAATATAGAAACACTTTTCCCACTCCCTCTCTGGCTTCCCATTTCCATCTGTCCATCTTTCCTGCCCTTTCCTGTCTTCCCAACTTTGTTCTGAGCGCATGCTGTTGTGTTGGTCTCATATGGCTGATGGTTCTAAGGAGCACGGTCCTCCCGGCGATCACTGTTCACTTTGTAGGTCTGTCTGTTGTTTGGCTGAAAGGTGATCTCTGGGGGTGGGGTCAGTTGAACGGTGTCTAAGGACCACAGTCTTGGGGGTTCCACCAGTGTCTATCAGACCAGTAAGTCTGGTCTATTTTAATGATTTTGAATTTTGTTCCACATTCTTCTCCTACTCTGTCCAGGACCTTCTGTTGTGACCCTGATCAGAACACTACCATCTGGTTCTTCTGGTCTCAGGTAGTGGAGGCTGTGGTTCATATGGTCCATTAGCCCACTGCACTTACTGTTTTCTACAAGTCTTCGATTTTCTTCACTCTGCTCTGCTCCAGAGGGGAAGAGAACAGTTGATAGCAGCTCACAAACTTTTAAAACCTCAGTCACTATTCATAGAAATAGGATGTAGACCTTTGTCTTTGTAAATTGTTATGCTAACTGACTTAAATGTTCTCTAAGACTAAGGTCCTAAGCCTTCAAATCCATTGACTCAGTCCGGTAAGACGTTTGCTTCATTTTGCCCCCATCCCTATATGCTCTATACCTGGAAATACCTGTAATACACAGAAATCCATACGTAGAACTGTCCTCTGTCAAACCTGTATGTGCTCATGGGTGTGCTTCCATACGTCATCTCACCTGTTTGGCTTGTGTATATACCTGTGTATCTACTCATCAATTATTGTTTACTGTTACCATTACTGGAGGATTGTGTGGGTACTTAGCCAGTGTTGCCTTTTGCTCTTGTGTACCTTCTGGTGTTTTCCTTTGCCTTGGTCCTGTTGTGCTGATTTTCCCCTTATGTGTGTTGCCTTTCCCTTCACCCAATTCAACATATGTGTACTCTCTAGTTTGGAGTCCTAGTGTGGTGCTGTTGGATAAGCACTGAATTGCTAACCACAAAGTCAGCGGTTCAAACTCTGTTGGAATTAACTCAAACTCAGTGGCACTTAACCACAACACAGCTGTCTAGGTAGTGATTTTCTTTATCTCCCCGGCCAGCTCTGATAACCATCAAAGGACATTTCTTGACTTTTATATTAGTGGTCTCTTAAAAAGGGCTTCAAAAGTGTGTAGAAAAATGGAATTGAAATACAATGGGACTTTTCTGTGAAGAATTTGAAACTCCCACAAACGTTCTTTGCCTTTTTTGATTGACTTCATTTCAGCATAATGTCCACCAAGTTCATCCCCGTTGTGAATTGTTTTGTAGGTTCATTGCTGTTCTTTCACATTGTGTAGTATTCTGTTGTGTGGGGACCAGGGTTTGCCCATTTATCCATTGTGTGAGTAGCAGGCAGTGAGCCTAGCGTGCTGGAGTCTGTTCACACCACAGCTCCTAGTTCTTTGGCACATACGAGTTTCCCTAGTAGTAAGATGGCTGGGGCGTACATATCTCAAATTCTAATTTTTAGAGGAAGTACTATACTATTTTTCATAGTGGTTATACCATTTTTACATTCCCACCAACAATGTAGAAAGGTTCTAGTTGACCAGCATTTTTTTTTCTATGTTTGTTTTATTATTGCCAGGGTGAGATGCTATCTCGTTGTTTTGATTTGCCTCTGTAATGACTAGTGATTGGGAACATCTCTTCATGTATTTGTTGGCCACCTGAATGTCTTCTTTGGTGAGGTGTCTGTTCATGTCCTTTGCTCATCTTTTAATTGGATAGTTTTGTCTTTTTGTTGTTGAAGTGTTGAAGTTTCCTATAAATTTTAGAGACTAGTCCCCTTGTCAAATGTGTCATTGCCAGACATTTTTCCCAGTCTGTGGGTTCTTATTTTTATTCTTTTGGAGCTCTTCTATTTCTTTTTAAACCTTCCATAGAAGATCCTGATTCATGTGTAGAGTGAATGGGAGGGATGAGGTCATGGGTGCTGGGAGCCACAGCAGTCTGTGTGTGCCTAGGAGTATGTTAGGGGTGAGGTGTCATTGCTTGTGCTGTCCCAACCCATCTCAAGAGTTGGCACTGTTTCGTGACTGCTTCTTAAGTAGGCAGAGAATAACTAAATAATAACTAATTAGAAAAGCTACTATTTTATTGAGCACTTTTATGTTATATCCATTTTTTGTGATTCCTCATAGAAGCTCTTATGAGCTAGGTGCTATTGCCCTCATTTTACAGATGCAGCTAAGAAAGGGTAACCAACGTGTCCAGCTAATTAGTAAGTGGCAAAGCTGAGACTCAAAACCTTGGCCTGTGGGCTCCAACTGTTTTCTTAATTACAACTGTATTCTGCCTTAGCCTTGGCACATTCCGAACCTCCTGCTGGTTTCCAAAGACCGGCAGCAGCTGAGGTAGTCCTGCTGCCCACTGCAGACCAGGTGGGAAAGCCTGCACTTAACACCTGCCGTTGACCACCAACTGGAAGCTAGACTGCCCAGACCTAGACCTGCCCATCAGGGCCCCATGGCAACAGGAGAGGGGAGTATTCGGCCTCCCTCTGCTGCACGTGTGCTCTGAAGGCCTCCTCTCTTTCATATTGTATCTTATCAAACTCTGCTGGTTTTGACCCACTGTGATCAACCTGTGGCTTGTGAAATGGTGAAGCAAGTTAAAAGTACAAGCTTGGGAGTCAGACAGACCTGGGATCAGATCTACTTTCCAGCACCAACCATGGGCAGCGGTAGTGGTGGCTTTGTGACTGCCGTTCACCTGGAGTCTAGTAAATGCAGAAACAAGGACATTGAACTTGGGAGAACTGGCGCCATGACACCATGTATCAACATTTCTGCTCCATTTGGTGGCGGTCACAATGAGTGCAAAATGCTCAGGAGGCCATGCAGTATGAAAAGTTGAAAGAGGATCTAAAATTATATTCCATTTGATTACACCACTGCACAAAGTCAGCTTTTCTCCTGCATTGAACAAGTGTTCCCAAATACCGATAACAGGATGATTTGTAAATGTCTTTTTACTCTCTTACTTTGATACACATGCATTACATTTATGATAGGAATAATGGTTAGATTTAGAGTCCTGGTGTGGCGCTATAGGATAAGCAGTCAACCTTAAGGTTGATTTGAACTGCAAGGTCAGCAGTTCAAACTCACCAGCTGCTCCTTGACAACCCTATACAGGGTCGTTATTGGTTGGAGCCAACTCAATGGCTTTTAACAACAACAACAACAACAACAACAACATACACAGAGTAGGAATCCAGCCCCCGAGAGAAACAAATGACCTTAAAAGGTGGATGGGGCCTCACATGGTTCTCCCTGGGCTGCACCGCTCAGCTGCCTCTTGCCTCAGGGCCTTGTAATCACCAGTTGGAGACCCCACTATACAGGTGACCAGCAGCATTCCCCACAGAGAGTTTCTTGGTGTTTTTTTCCACAGACAGAGGACTATCTGAAGCGGAAGATTCGTTCCCGGCCGGAGAGATCGGAGCTAGTCAGGATGCACATTTTGGAAGGTATGTTAGATTGAAAACGCTACTTCACTACGCCCTGTTCTCTCTGTCCTTGGCACCACCATAGCTGTGATTTCCCCTCCCCTCTCCTTACCAGCCTCCTTATTGCCGATGCCAGGAGGACTCCGCTTAACACAGCCCACCAGCTGTGCTGTGGTAACCTCCTTGGGCTGGGGAATTCCCAGAGAAGCACAGTCAGATTGGCATGGCGATCTGGTAGCCCAGGGCCACACCACCCCCTTGCTGTGAAATACCCCCCCAGCAGGGCAGATCTTTTCTCTCCTTCAAAATATGTCACAGTCACATCTTATTGGAAGTGCCTTCATGACATTCCACATTTGTCAAAACACAGAACAGAGTAAACAAAAAAGTACATTTACTTTTTTATTCATTGAGTCACTCAGGGTTTTATTCATTCATTCACCACAAGGCCAGCAGTTCAAACCAACCAACCGCTCTCATAATCCCTACACAGGGTCCCCATGAATCAGGACCCACCTGACAACAAAAACGGAGATGGGCCCCACCAGGCCTTCCTCACATGCCTTCCCAGGTTTCTAGTGCTACAGAGGTTTGCTTCTTAGCAGCAGCATGAATCTATCCGTTGTTTAGTTTGAGGATTGGGGGACTGGAAAAGAACTTTCTAGTCTGATCCTCATCATGCAGATGAAGACGCTGAGGTCCAGGCAGGCTTCATTTCCCCATTTGCTCAGCTCCCTCTGGTCTGCAGTGACTGTTCCGAAAGCCTTGGGGCCTGGCTGCACTGGGTGCTGTTTCCCTGTGTGACCACACACTGCCACAGTGGGATTCCTTCTTCTATCCTTGTGACACTTCAGGCCACCTTTCTCTGTCTGGGATGACCTTCCGTCTGATAGGAGGGACGAGTTGCTCACACATCCCCTCTCCTCACCCACCGCAGAGACCTCTGCTGAGCCTTCCCTCCAGGCCAAGCAGCTGAAGCTAAAGCGAGCCAGGCTGGCTGATGATCTCAATGAGAAGATCGCCCAGAGGCCTGGTCCCATGGAGCTGGTGGAGAAGAACATCCTGCCTGTGGAGTGCAGCCTCAAGGAAGCCATCATCGGTGAGGAGGCCAGGAGGGCATGGTGTGGGAGGGCCCGGCCGACTTAGCTGAGCTTCAGATTATGTCATGCCAGGTACCTTGAATAAGGGCCACATGGAAAGAACCTGGCTGGTTCCTGTCCTACGGGCTCAGTGGCAGGGAGCGTGCCAGGGTGGACCCCTGGATGGCACTGTTTGTTTTTACTTGTAAAACCTCTTCTTGGAGCTTGACACTGAGCAGAGGTTTCATCAACCAAATGGACTGGTTCAAACAGTGTGCTAGATGCTAGGAACACAAGCTCCCCAACATAGCAGACCCTCTGCACCCAAAGCTCCCACCCAGGGGAGGACATAGCTGCTCAGCAGGTAGCGCTGTGACCACACTAAGGCTCCCCAGCTCCCCAGCCACTCAGCCAGTGCACTGCCAAGCCGGGCTTCAGGGGTGAGCAGGAATCCCAAGGTTTGCGTGGCAGAGGAAGGAGAGTGTTCCAGGCTGGAAGCCCGCATATGAGCGAGAGCCAAAATGAGAAGCACTTGGCACTCCACAGGCTGAGGTCCACTGTGACCACACACGGGGAGATGCTGGGTGGTCAGACGGGGCAGGCGTTGGTGCTTGATCTGTTGGTGCAGATGAGCTCCCTCACTGCAGTGCCTGAGGGAGCTGTACAGTACACAAGAGGAGACCTAAGTCTCCCCTGTGATGTCTGGGACATGAGGGGACCCTCTGAAGCAGGCCTCCAGCCTGCCAAGTCAGGAGATGCATCGTACGATATGGAGGTCAACAGCAGGCAGGAGGCTGGCCCGCCCTGGGCCCCAGCAGCCCTTGTCCACAGACTGGCCCTGGCCTTGGTCCTGCCTCCTGTTGGTGTTTCTCTCCAGGTCACCACCCAGAGACCACTTCTGGGCTCTGCAGCCAGCCACCAGTATGGCCAGGCTCAGTGAGTCCTGACATCACGAAGACAAGTAGATGTGGCTGCTGCCCCAGAGAAGTCAGGACACATGCAGAACCAGAGCCTGGGCCACTGGAGCTGAGACCCCGGTCTTGTAGACATCTGGTTCTCAGCGCTTAGGGACTCTCCTGGGAGGAGGGTGCTGGAGTAAGGTGATTGTACTGACCAGCTGGACATGGTGGTCACCAGTGCCCTGGGAAAACTGGCATGTCTCAGGGGGGTGGGAAGTGCTAGAGATAGGCAGTGAAACTGTCGTTGGGGTAGGGAAACTTGTCCCCACAGCAAATCCTGGGACTGAGGAGTGAGCGGAGGGAGGCCAAGGAAATGGTGGCGGGTAGGTCCACAGGAGGAAGAAACTTAGATCCAGTCGTGGGAAACAGACTACGGGTGGCAGAGAACTCCAGTGCTCCCCGAGACCTGCTGTCACCAACACACACTCACATGACTTTCTCTCCAGGGCCCAGTTGTCTTTAGGGTTCCTCTTCTCCCCAGTGTCGACTAAGAGGACCGTCCCCCATGTCCAGCCCACAGTGGACAGATGGGTCTGCAGGGTGGTGCAGGCAGCAACCTTGGCCTCAGTCCTGCCAGCAGCTCCCTGGGGCCTAGTGGGAGCTGCCGCACGCTGTCCTAGATTGTCACCCTAACTCATTCAGTGTTTAGATTGTGGGAACAGCCTAAGTGGTCAAGTGTCAGGAAGTCCACAGTTGTTGGGAGCTCTCTCCCCTGCTTTGCATGCAAGGCAAGGGTGCTCTTCTGAGGGAAATGCCTCTGATCACGGCCCCAGACCCGAAGACACTGCTGGGAGTCATGCAGGGCAAACCCAGACTGAGCAGGCAGCCAGCTCGTTCCTGTTCCCTCTCTCTGGTCTCCAGGGCCGTCTTCTCCACAAGTGCTGGTTGTGATGCAGACCTTAAAATAGCCCACTGGCAGCTCCCCTGCTCCCTTCTCTTCTTCCTGGTCCTGGGATTTCTCACTCCTCCTCACCCTGCCAGCCGGCCTGGTCTGCAAAGGACAACCATGCAGGCCACCTGGGCTCCAGGGGTTCAGGACAGTCACCACTAAGGGTCACTAGGTTCAGTCCCAGGCCTGAGAGCCACGCTCCCTAGTCTCTTCCTGGCCACCCATGCTCATTGACCATCCCCAAGCCTCACAGCCCCTCTCAGTTGGGTCTGTCGGTGCTGGTGGGAGTGAAGGATCTTTGACATCAGGAAGCAGGTAGCTAAAGGACAGTGGGGTCTCCCAGGGAGGGGAGGAGGGCAGAGCCTGACCATGCAGGGAACCCACAAGCTGTTCTCTGCCTTTTGCTGCTGGTCCTGGCCTTGAAGCCCTTGGGGAGCCAGAGCTGGGCTCTTAAGACGACTTTGGGTTTCAGTGGGCCAGGTGAACTACCCGAAGGTCGCAGACAACTCTTCCTTTGATGAAGACAGCAGTGATGCCTTATCCCCTGAGCAGCCTGCCAGCCACGAGTCCCAGGGCTCTGTGCCGTCACCCCTGGAAGCCCGAGTCGGTGAACCACTGCCCAGTGCCACATCCGTGCCCCCTACTCAGGTGAGCTCACCCACTTGCAGCTGCTCCCCACAGCCAGAGGTCCCAGAAACTGGTCTGGGAAGTGGGGTGTCCTGGAACCTCAGGGGAGGGTTGTAGACCCTGCAGCTGAGCCTGACACACTTGACTCAGCCCCGCCAGCTGCCTCCTCTTCTCTCCCCTGGCCACTCTGGGCCTCTGCCCATTATTGGCCTGTAACAGTGACCACCGTCCCTGCCTCCTGCAGTGGCCTATGCCATGTGGACATATGGCCTTCCTGCCCCTCCTGCACTCAGGTTGTGTCGCAGCTGCCGACGGGCCCTGAATGTGGAGAGACCCTTTTCCTTGCGGAGCAGCCGCCCCTGCCGCCCCCATCTCTGCAGCTTCCCAGCCTCCCCAATGGAACCACGGTCCCCACTGCCAAGCCCACCCCAGCACTCATCAAGGTATGCTTCTCTGGGGGTCTGCACCTCCTTCCTTTCACTCTGATTGACTGTATTCCTGCTTCCCATGATTGGAGACAACACAGGCCACCGAGGGCCAGAAACATCAGTGAGAGAATGCATGGCGTCATTGTCACCGTGTGCAGACCAGACCCGGGCCTCACCTGTATATCCTTTCAGCCCCGAGCATCTCCCTCACTTGCTTTCAGTGACCTGCATCACCTTTGGGCATTGGTGTTGGTGTCTGTTCTCCTCAAAGACCTGACTTGAAGTAACTGAATGGTTCAGCTTTATCTGTCCCCACAAAAGCCCCATGGGGGGCTTCAGTGGGCCCTCCTGCCCTTCAGTCACCTCAGCCCCCAGGACCCTAGCACTCCATACCCTCCTCTGTGCTCATGCTGGGCAGGTCACTGACTCCCTCTCCCGTCAGTCTTTATTCTGTCCCCAGACCTTGTGTTGGTGTAGCTGACCCAGGGGTGAGTTCCCAAAGCCTGGGAGCCTCCATACTCCCACCAGGCTCCCGTGCTGAGGGCTTGCCCTCCCTTTTTTTAAAAAAAAAAAAAAAAAAGATTGTTGTTGCTGTAATAGTTGATTCCCTCACAGTTTAGGAGGCTTCAAGTCCAAATTGAGGGTGCCAGCTCTGGGGGCTCTTGTCTGCTGTCGGCATCTGTGGGCCTGCTTCCCTGTGAGCTTTCTGAGTCTTGTTGTCAGTGTTCCCTGGGTATCAGCACGGGGATCCTGGGTCCAGATGATCTGCTGTCCTGCTGACTCTTCTTTCCTGGTGGTAGTTCTTTCCAGTTCTCTGTTCGTCTCGTCTCCTTTTACGTCTTACAAGACAGTGGTGATGCAGGTCACTCCCCTGAATAGTCCCTTCCTCCTTAATCTTACCTGTGTCCCTGCTGTCGGCCTGAGGTGCCTAGTTCTCCCTTCTGATTCTCACCTCTTCATCTTTCCAACACTGCCCCAAGATACCCCCACACACTTGCTACGTGTCACACTTGACATGTGCTCTAGACTTCCTGTTGACTGGCCTCAGTCTCGGCTTGTGGAGGGCAGCCCCCAGCTTCACCAGTGGCCTGAAGCTGCCTCTGCCTCCGGGTCCATCCCCGTCCCACTCGGCTCTTCCCAATTCCTTTTCCTCCTCCCTTCTTGGTGGGTGCTCCCCTTTCTCCCTTTGCCTGCACCTGTGGTACCTAAGTGGATGTTCTGGCTCAGTCTGAGCAGACCTGCCTGCCTCCCTCCTGGGCTGTGTTGCCCAACAAGCCCACAGATGGACGGCTGCCACCATAGCTCAGACAGCAGCTGTCAGCATCCCACTCTTTGTCCAGTGGGTCACTTGGGCCCAGATCTTCCTCAGCCTACTGTCACCTCCTCAAGGCTTAATTGTCCCTGTGTCAGGTGTTCACCCACCAGACTGTTTTACAGCTTTCAGGTTCTCCACAGTCCCTTCCTGGCACTCCCTTGGTACTGTCTACCCATTTGCCCTCCTGGTCCACTGATCCCCCTCCAAGACACATCCCACTGACCCCTTGGTCTGCCTGGAGTCCTTGAGGCCCAGTGGAAACCCCGTGTCCAGTGTGATCATGGGTGTCTTGGTGGCCAGATCCTCTGACATTTGTCCAGCGCCCTGCACAGTGCCTGCTCTGTGTCCCCACTTCACTGGGGACAAGGGGGTGCCAATGTGGTTGGCAGCCCTCCAACCTAGCATAGCACCTCTCTGGGCACAGGGTAAACCTCTGTGGGCAAGATGGAGAGGGGTCTTCTCAAAGCTGCTGGAGGGGGAGTGGGGGCTACCGCTTCACGTCCTGTGCCTCCCAACGCGCCTCCATCTCCCTCAGCAAAGCCAACCCAAGTCTGCCGGCGAGAAGTCGCAACGCAGCAAGAAGGCCAAGGAGCTGAAGCCAAAGGTGAAGAAGCTTAAATACCATCAGTACATCCCCCCGGACCAAAAGCAGGACAAGGGTCCCCCACCCCTGGACTCGTCCTATGCCCGGATTCTGCAGCAGCAACAGCTCTTCCTCCAGCTGCAGATCCTCACTCAGCAGCAGCAGCAACACTACAACTACCAGACCATCCTGCCCGCCCCACCCAAGCTGGCAGGGGAGACCCTGGGCAACAGTGGACCCCCGCCCATGCGTAGCCTTTCAACCAGCAGTACCAGTTCCAGCTCGGGCGCCCCTGGGTCTAGTGGGCTGTCACGTCAGAACAGCATCTCGCTGACAGGCAAGCCAGGGGCCCTGCCCACCAACCTGGACGAGATGAAGGTAGGTGGTAGGTGGCTTGTAGGAGGCAGAAATCAGTGGGCCTGGACCCACAACCATGAGGCAGACAGGAGTCAGGCACTCCCCCCACCACCCCCTGCCAGTTAGGGCTTGCAAAACCTGGGCCTGAGGCAGCTGTTTCCTCAAAACATGAGGGGACCAGGTTCCCAGGGAGGCTCGGCCTCTGGACAGGCAGGCCCCGCAGAGACCCAGTCCATGGAGGCAGGTGGGCCTGGGTGCTGGCTGCTCAGACCTGGACTCACACCCAGCTCTGCCCCTCTAGAGACACCAGTTCCCACTAAGTCTTGTGCAGGTGGGGTTGGGCGTGGGCTCCTGGTCTGACTGGCAGCCAGAGCAGGCATTTTACCACAGAGCCTGGTGTGGTGAGGGTAGTGAAACAGAGGAGGTGGGCGGGTGGGGGTGTGGAGCCCAGCATGGATGAGGCCTAATGGACAACGTGCTTGTCCCTTGAGCCCTCCTGGACTGCCCACTGGTATGGTCCCCACCCAGTGCCAGCATGAGGCCCAGGCCTCCCTGCTAACCTGGCTCACACCCCCGTGCAGGTGGCAGAACTAAAGCAGGAGCTGAAGTTACGATCACTGCCCGTCTCAGGCACCAAGACGGACCTGATCGAGCGCCTGCGTGCCTACCAAGACCAGATCAGCCCCCCTCAGGGGACCGCCAAAACCCCGGCTGCCTCCATCCTGCCCAAGGCTGGCGAGGTGGTGGTAGCCTTCCCGGCGGCCCGGTTGAGCACAGGCCCAGCATTGGTGGCAGCAGGCCTGGCCTCCACCGAGGTGGTGGTGGCCACAGTGACCAGCAATGGAGTGGTGAAGTTCGGCAGCACGGGCTCCACACCCCCTGTGTCCCCAACCCCCTCAGAGCGCTCCCTGCTCAGCACAGGCGACGAGAACTCCACGCCTGGGGACACCTTTGGTGAAATGGTGACTTCGCCCCTGACCCAGCTCACCCTGCAGGCCTCCTCACCGCTGCAGGTGCTCATGAAGGAGGAGGGTCCGAGGCCTGGAGCCTGCCACCTGAGCCCAGGGGTGCGGACCGAGCCTGAGGGGCGCGACAAGGACCGCATGCTGCAGGAGAAAGACAAGCAGATCGAGGAGCTGACGCGCATGCTCCGTCAGAAGCAACAGCTGGTGGAGCGGCTGCGGCTGCAGCTGGAGCAGGAGAAGCGGGCCCAGCAGCCCAGCCCCAGCCCGGCTGCCCTGGTCAAGCAGGAGAGCAGTTTCACCAGTTGCCCACTGAGCCGGCTGACCCCGGGCCCTGCACATCCCTTCAGCCCCAGCCTGGCCACACCCACAGCCAACCACACAGATGCCAGCACCCCGGCCCTCGTGCCCCCAGCCATGGTGGTGAAGCAGGAAGCTGGGCTGCCAGAGCCCGCGCCAGTACCCACCCCCCAGCTGCTCCTGGGCCCACGGGGCCCTGGCCTCATCAAGGGGGTCACACCTCCTACCCTCATCACCGACTCCACTGGGACCCACCTTGTGCTCACTGTGACCAACCCCCACGCAGACAGCTCTGGTCTGCCCAGCGGAAGCCCTCAGCAGGTATGTGGGCAGGGGTATGGGGCAGGACAGCCTCTTACCCAGGGCCTCCATGGGCCAGTGTTTTGTGTTTGCTTCATCTCATTTCCTTGCAACCCATGGAATGAGGCCACACCATTCCCCCGATTCACCACTGAGGACCCCGAGATAGGCCCCACCCACCTCCCTGACGTGACCCCAGAGTGTTTTTGCGCCATGGGCACCCAGCTCCCATGACTGCTCTGGGTCAGATGGCCCCTGCCCTGGTGTGAACTCCTGTGTTGTCCCTGAGGCCAGCGGTCCCCACCTCAGTGCTGCTGGCTCAGTGCTATTGCTATCCTACTTACTGCCTCTGCCTGCGAGCTAGTGGGATAGGGCAACGATGGGGACCGGAGAGGATGGACAATTGCAGTTAGGGGCAGGACTTGGCCCAGGGCCCTGCTCATCTGTGCCTGCCCCACCTACCACAGGGTCAGACAGCAGACCTTCCACCTTCCCCAATTCTCCAGAAGCCCACGTGGGGTGAGGGGGGTGGGGGGCACTGACCCTGACCCTTCCTGTACTCCTCATAGGCAGGTCTGTTTTCCCCACATGTCCAGTCGTTGTCCCAGCCGGGCTCTCCAGCACCTGGTCCCCCCACCCAGATGGACCTGGAGCCGCCACCACAGCCCCTCTTTGGCAGCCCCCCTTCTCTGCTGAAGAAGGAGCCTCCAGGCTGTGAGGAAGCCGTGAACCAGTCACCCACAGTACAGGTGAAGAGGTGGATGGCTGGGGGAGGGGCTGTAGCCCATCTTTGAAGCAGAGATCTCAGGGGCTGGGCCTGGTGGGGAGGCAGGTGTCAACGCTTAGGGTCCATTAGCAGCTTTAGTGGAGAGGTTGCCTGGCTCTGGCACAACTTTTTCTCTGCTTGTCCCACAGGAGAAGGGCTCCTCCAGCCAGCAGATGGATGACCTGTTTGACATCCTTATTCAGAGTGGAGGTAAATCTCGAGCCTGCCGCCCCAGCCCCTCTCGTCCTGGTTCTTACTGGCCTCACTGGGCAGACACTTGTAGGGGTGGGTGTGGACTGAACCCAGACTCTCACAGACACATGCTCCCTCCAGGCCTGGTGGGCTGAGCACTCGCCATCCCTGCGGTTACTGCTTGTGGCTGAGCACTCGCCATCCCTGCGGTTACTGCTTGTGGCTGGCTGGCTGTGTGCTGGGCTGCTCTGGAGAACAGATCTTGTCTGTGTGGAGCTCTGAGTCTAGCAGGGGAGACCACACCTGACAGTGACGAAATAGAGCAAGTTAGGTGTCAGCAAGGAGCCAGTGGGTGTGACGAGCACAGCAGAGAAGGGCCTAACTGAACGGATCCGCACTTGGGGCAAGGATGGTTGTGTGTGCCAGTGGTGGGCCTTTGTCCACCTTGTTCCTGTGAAAGAAAGACAGGTGTCCATAGGTCTTGTAGGAGAGACTACATCCAGATGTGGTGGTTCAGGACAGGCTTCTGGTGGGGAGGGACTTCAGATTGTCCCCTCTGGGCAGAAGGGGTAAAAATTCTAGAACCAGACAGATGGACAAACAGGCATTTAAAAAAATCAGAAACAGTCCCAGGTAGGGCTGAAGGTGATTACTGACAGAAAGTGCTAGAATGACAGCCAGGTGGTGTCTAGACTTGATCTCAGGGTGGCTGTGTGGGCTGCTGCAGGGAGGGGAAGCAAGAGAAGGAAAGTCAGGTGACAGGAATGCAGCAAGTGGCATCAGGCCTTCAGGTGGCCCAGTATGAGGGGCAGGAGTGACCCCAGGACAGCCCAGTGGGAGGTGGCGGCCTGATCATTGCCAAGGGTTGCAACCTGGCCGGTGGCCCCAGATAGTTATCAGGACGTAACAGCACGGCCCCTCATGACGGTGCACGTGCCCACACCTGCCCACACCTGCTCAGCACAGCTGGTTCTGACACGCCCTTTTTACAGATTGAAGGGTCCTGCCTTGAGCAGGTCCGTCTGCGCTGTTTGCTCCTTTTGTGGTTCTGTGTCCCACTTTGGCCATTCTCACAAGATTTCAGACTTTTTCCTCACACTGTAGCACACCTCACTCCTTACCTGCAGTAGTGTTGGCCTCACTTCCACGTGCTGGGAAACCAAAATACTTGTGGGGCCCACTGAGCCCCGGAGTCACTTCAACAGGGGCTTTCTGCTGAGTTTTATCAAAAGGAGGAATGCAGGAAAGCTCACTTGCTGTTTTCTCTTAACCCTTCACGCGGCCTGAGTACTTCTCACAAGTACAGGGGTGCTCAGCCTGGTCCAGAACCCAGATGGGAATTGAGGGGGAGGTTGGAAATGGATGAAGCAGGCCTTGGCTCTGGGAAGCAGGGAACAGGTCAGAGTGGCCGGGTCATGAAGTGCCTGATGGGGATGGTAGAGCCGCAGCGGCTGGGACAGGGTAGGCACCAGCCTGCTCTGCCTCCCGACACAGGCACCTCCTCTCTGGCAGAAATTCCAGCAGATTTCAAGGAGCCATCGTCCCTGCCAGGGAAGGAGAAGTCCACGGCACCAGCAACCTGCGCCTCCCCGCTAGCCTCACAGCCCTCGCCCTGCACCGTGCCAGGCTCACCAGCTCTGCCCGGGCGGCTGGAGGACTTCCTGGAGAGCAGCACAGGGCTGCCCCTGCTGACAGGAGGCCACGAGGGCCCTGAGCCCCTCTCCCTCATTGACGACCTCCACAGCCAGATGCTCAGCAGCTCCGCCATCCTGGACCACCCTCCTTCACCCATGGACACCTCGGAGCTGCACTTTGCACCGGAGCCCAGTGGCTCGGTGGGCCTGGACCTGGCCGATGGGCACCTGGACGGCATGGACTGGCTGGAGCTGTCGTCGGGTGGTCCTGTGCTGAGCCTGGCCCCCCTCAGCACCTCGGCCCCCAGCCTCTTCTCCACGGACTTCCTCGATGGCCATGACCTACAGCTACACTGGGACCCCTGCTTGTAGCTGGACACCGTCTGTCCCACCTGCAAGGGTCCTGGAGCGGCAGGGGGCCTCCCTTCCTCCCCCTCAGCCAACCTCAGAGCCCCTGGGCGGCCACCAGAAGGGCCCAGCCATTTGTGTGTCCTGGACAGTGAAGCTGTGAGTGGGGAGTGGCAGTTTCTGTACAGGTGGACAGAGCTCTCGCACATGGACACACGTTATCCAAACCCAGCCCATCAGCATTGACTTGGACTCACAGACCCTGCCTGGCAGAGAACCGCCCAGAGGACTTCCAAGTCTGAAATCTGTATGAAGCAGACTGCCACATCCTTTTCCCTTCTAGCCGCTGATGGGCTTCAACTGCTGACCTCGGTTAATAGCCGAGTGCTTTAACCACCAAGCGAGCCCCCCTGGGCTCAAAACTTTTGACTTGCATTTACAGGCATAATCCGGGAGGTGGGTGGGGTGGTGGGTACTGCTCCCCCAATCCGACCCTGCACACAGATGGGCCTAGAAACCAGGGTCCCCTCGGGCTGTCCTCCCCCAGCCTGGTGTGTATCCCTCCAGGCCCACCCATCACGTGTGTTTGACGTGTAGACACCCTGCCACACTTGCTCCTCAACAACTCCTCTGTGCCACCAGGACAGACCTGTTTCTTGGCCCTTACCCCCTCTGCATTCCCTCCTGTGGTCACCACTGGATACTCAGCCTGGGTCCAGGGCAAGCAGGCACTGGCCCAGTTCTGCCGGTAGGACTGAGGGGTGGGCATGAAGCTATGCCACCTCTTGCCCATGTGGCCTGTCACTCGGGACTGAGATGTGGAGTCACCAAAACAAGTGCTGGGATGGAGTGGGGGAGATGCTGTGTGAACTTTTTAAAATAAAAACAAAACTCCATGGAGAGGCTTCCATCCATTGGGTAGGGGAGGAGCCTCCCCAGCAGGAAACATCCCAGCAGTCCTTGTTCTCAGAGTAGGTTTATTTACAGGCCAAGACCCCCTCCCTGAGCAGACGGCTCACAGGCCTGCTATCCTCAAGGTTCTGGCCTGGCCGAGCCCTCCACCCATCATGGGGGCCCGTGGAACTTCACTAACTGGACAGACCCCATTTTACTCTTCCTGCTTGGGTAGCTGCCGGTGGGGGCTGGAGGAAGAGCGTCACCCATCGATGTCCCAACTGAAGAGATGGTGCTTCACAAGCATGTCCTGAACCCCCTCCTTCAGGGGCTGCTTCTCCTCCTGTGGACAGGGACAGCCCCCTCTGTCACCCCAGGGGCTGCCCATCCACTCCCCTAGAGCCCCTCTGGGAGCACCAGACAAAACCACCCACCTCTCTCCTCACAGGAAGTTCCCAGTCCTGGGACAGGCTGAAGGCAAAGCAGCAGAGGACACTGGGGGGCGAGGAAGGTGGCAGTGAGGCCAGCTCGGGTCACCCAGTCCCTAATCCCAGGGCTGGGCTGGGCCTCACCGGAGCTCACACTTGATTTGGACCCAACCAGGGCTGCGTAAGAAGGACCAGGGCTGGTACCACTTCTCCACGGTGGGCAGGCTGGAGCAGAGTACCTCCAACCACAGGTGTAGTACCTGCTCGCTGGGGACACACCAGGAGACGGGCATTAGGTTCAGGGACACCAGGCTAATCAGTCCTTTAGGGCCCCTCCGAGGACCACGGGGGGCTCTCCCTCACCCCAACCAAGTCTGAGGGGGTGGGGTGGGCCCACTCCACTGGGGGAAGGTGCTCAACCCTGTTCACGTGCCCCTCATTCTGCTCAGAGGCAACCAGTGTGTCCCAAACTTAAGGCCCTCAGCCCTGTCCTAGACCCTGTCCAAGTGAGCAGGTGCTTTGCTCCAGCCCTAAGGGCACACGGGCCAGGCCCATCCCACCCAGACAGGCACTTCCCAGCACACACTGCTCTGGCATCTGGGGCTGGTGGTGAGGGCACTCACTTGAGCCCCACGCAGATGAGGGAGCGCAACTTCACATCCATCTGGGCATGCACAGCATCGTGGGTCACATTCACCGACTGCACCGCCTAGGAACACAGGCTGTCACCGGGGGTCCTCATCTAATCCCCTGCCAGCCCACCCCAGAGGTCCCCCGTACCCGGTAGAGCAGCTCCTCCGGGGTCAGGACTTTGCCATCTTCGTCCAGCCTACAAGAGGGACGACAGCTCCCAGTGCTGCCTGTGGACAGGACCCCGCTGCCCCCTGGGGCGCCCCCTTACCTGTATGTCTTACAGAGCACCAGGCGCGAGTACACAGAGTCGAAGTCTCTCTCCACCTCCCGGCCTGCTGCCTGTGGTCAGGTAGGCAGAGGTAGGTAGAAGCCTGGCCGAGCCACCACCTCCCACAGCTCCGCAGGGCCCTGGGCAGCAGGACCCAGCCCTGACCTACCTCCTCAATAAACAGCCAGGGATGGCAGGCGCCACCCAACAGGGTCGGCTTCTTCAGCCCATGTTCAAACAGGGCTTTGAGGGCCGGGCAAAGGGTCCCTCGCACGAGGTCTGTGATGCCTTCCGTCACAGAGTCATCCCCGGCAATGGAGTACTGGGGCGCAGGGAGAGTAGGTCTGAGAAGACTCGGCCCAGCAAAGAGGGGCTCCAGACCCCCCAGGGGCAGCTCCCACTTACCTCTTTACTCCGTTCGTCCAAGACTTCCACAAACTTGGCTGGAAACCAGCCTGTGGAAAAAGCAGCCATTTGAGCGGCTAGCCTGAACCCCGGCCCTGTGCAGGCCCAAACAGGGGCTCCGGGCGGCAGGGGGCCAGTTCCACAGCCGGCGAAACCTCACCTCGCAGGCCATTCAGTTCCCCCACCCAGCAGTGCTCGTCCTTCTGGGAGATGATCTGTGGGGGACAAAGGGACCCGAGCTGTGCTTGCCCGCCAGCGCCTCCCACATCTGACTCTGGCTCAGCACAGCGCCCCGCCCCCGCGTTCCTGGTGAGAAGAGGGGTTGTGGCGGGGCCCACACACCGTGATGACGTCATTTTTACGGAACCCCAGCTCGTCGTCATCATGTCGTTCAAAGTCCAGCAGGGCCTTGGCGCGGCGCCGGTGGCTGCGCGAACACATCACGTAGTTCTCGTGATCCCGTTGGTGGCTCTGCATGCTGTAGTCGGGACTCAGCTCCTACCGGGAGGGCCGAGGCAGTGCGTGGGGAGGGGGGAAAACAGGCCCCACAGTCTCCCAAGGCCTGGGAGGGGGCGCCTGCCACTTACCACACCACAGTGTTTGGGGTCTGTGCACTGGAAATGACGGGCCACACGCAGGATGGCTTCACGGAGATCTGCCACCAGCTCCGTCTGTTTGATGTTCTTGGCCTTGAGAGCTTCCAGGTCGTCCTCTCCTGGGGGACAGAAGGGTGGTGGTGACCATGGCCGCCTCCTGGATGCTCCTGCCGCACGTCTGGCCTCCAGGCTACCCACCCCGGCTATGGGGCACGTCCTCACCAAAGAGCAGGGAGCTGAGGCCGGACTTCCTCCGCTGGGCCCTCCGTCGAACCACCTGCGGGCAGAGAGCAGTTGGCTGGAGCCCTGGGCGCCTCAGCCCAGAGGAAACCCACAGTGAAGTGTCCCCCATGGAAATGCGCCCGGGTCACAGCCTGCATCTGACTCCCGCTGTGCCGGCTGGGGTCAGGGTCATGGGCCTGCAGCCCAGCGTGGTCTGACCAGCCCTGCAGGGCATCTTCCACATGGGCCGTCTCCTGTCCTTGCCCACCTGAGACAGGGTGGTGGTGGTACTGGTCCCCAGGAGCTGACTCTGGTCTGCAATGAGGTAGGCCAGATGCTTGCGACGCTGGGTCTCCACAGCCACGTCTGTGAGGGAGCCCGCCAGTCGCATGGCCGCCCCCAGCAGCAGCTCGGCGTCATCAATCTGTGTCGGAATGTCCGACAGTGTGTTGAAGATGGAGGCCGAGTTTTCGGATTGAATCAGCACCTCCTCCTGGGCCATGTGGGGTCGGAGATGGGGTGTCACTGCCAAGCCTCAGTCCCTCAGTGACCCCCAAGGACCAACAGGACAGACCTGTCTCTGGTGTCCTGCTTTCGGGCCTGGGACCCACCACCCTGAAACCTGTCCTGAGCAGAGGTGTTAACCCTGCTCTAGCCCGAGGCTGGGGCTGAGTGACATTCCCATTCTAGTGGGGAGACAAGCAGTGAACAGCTCTGGTGGACAGGGCTCCTTAGCTTTGCTGGGGCTCAGTACGTCCACTCAGCAAGAACAGCAGGACAGTATCTCTCACTGGCCGGGCACCTTGAGGTGCAGCATGCCGAGCGTGGCCTGGAAGAGCACCCGGGAGCCCTCGTAGAAGAACAGGTCCCAGATGCGCAGCAGCAGCCGCAGGTGCACGACGCTGGCGAAGGCCGTGAGGAACCAGTGCAGCGTGATCAGAGACAGCTCTGCGGAGGACAGGGTGTCAGCAGAGCTAGTGACCGAGCTGCAGGCTGTCTGTCCAGGCCCCACAGCAGGGACGCAGTCCCGTACCGATGTCGTGTTCCTGGAGCAGCTTGTCCAGCCGCGGCAGATACTGGACGATGAGTTGGCGCAGCACACGCTGGTCCGTCTGGACGCCCAGCAGGGTGGTGCTGAAGTAAGAGGCAGGCAGCAGGTCTTCTACGATGGCACACATGACCCAGAAAGAATCCTCCTCCTCCAAGAAGAGCAGGAGGCAGGCAGCCACCTTGGGAGCAGGAGGCAGAGCCTCTGACCATGTGGCCTCCCCAAGACACAGAGGGCACACTGCCTGTCTGGGCCTTCCTCAGCAGCCCCTGCCTCCTGGTGCCCCACCCGGGTCTCACCATGCCTGTGCCCTGGCAGTAGCCGATCTCGGGGTAGAGCCAGGCTAGGGCTCGGAGGACCCGGCGCAGGCGTGGAACTCCGATGCTGCTCTCGTTGGCGAAGCAGGCGTTGCCGGGCATGGTGCGTAGCAGGTCCTTCTCGATCTGTCGGTGGTCACACACCCACCCAGACCCATGAGGCCCCACTGAGCAAGGCCAGCAGAGCCCCGCCATGTCCCTCCCTTCAGGGTCCGAGCCATCTCAGTACCTTCACCCCAAAACTTCAATGTACACAGTCCTGGGTCTCATGCCAACCATGCTGTTGTTGATCCCAACTCATGATACGGCCGAGTGGCCTGGGGCCCACCAGGTTTCCATGGTTACCACATCTCTCTCCCATAGAGATGCCTGTTAGCAGTTGAGCACTTAAGCACTGCACCCCCAAGGTACTGAATGAGAATCTCGGGATGAGGTTTGGACACCTGTCAGTAAAGGCCCGTAACCGGCCTCATGACTGCCTACTAGGGGCCTTGGAGACAGCTCTTCTTCTGGGTCCCACTAGTCCCAGGCTGCTTCCTGTTGACCCGCCTGTGGGCCGGTCCTTACCTGCCTGGCAGCAATAGTCTCGTCGTTGGAACTGTTCTTCACCATCTCGCGGTACGACAGCTCCGAGTTGTGCTTCTTCTGCAGGGCCCCCGAGAGCCGCATCCACAGCTGGGGAAAAAACAGGGCTCAGCAGTGTCCCATCACCATGGGTCCAGGTCAACCTCCCCCCTAACTGAGTCCCCACCCACCTGTGGCCTCATACTGTGAGGGATGCCGGTCAGCACCAGGGAGCGTAGCTTCTCTGAGCGGGGCAGGGAGACAGCGATCTTGTCCCAGGTGAGGTCCCCCACATCATGGTTGTGGGTGAATTCTAGGTGAGCCTGCCACCTCAGTGTCTGCTGAGGGTCCTCCACCAGCCCCGGAGCCTGCAGCCTGCGGGAGCTCTCGGTGTCTGTGGACGGCCCAGAGGGCACGTGAGTGGAGGAAGGAGGTGAACGAAGCTGTCATGGCCAATGCCCAGCCAACAAGTGGCTTCAGAGAGCCCACACCCTCCCTCTATTTGAGACTCACCTCTCCACGCTCCCCAAGGCCTCACACCTGCAACTGGCATCTTCCCTCCCTCTTCACCCTCCAGATGGATGGACACTCACATCTGACCCTTGGATCAGCTCTGGCCCCACCTTCTTTTGCACCCCACCCATCACCTCTTAGCCCCTCCATCCCTGTTGACGCCACTCTCCTGTGACCACTCTTCCTATACAGGTGGCCTCTCCCAGGTCCCGCCCACCCTGTCAGTTTAAATGGCTCCTTCTCCGTCCCCTAGTTCTCAAGCTCTTCTCATCCCCACCAGGGCCAGAGCTCTCTGCGGTCACTGCTGGTCTCCCCACTGGAGCAGCTGCCCAGTCTGGGGCCAGAGCAGCTTAGCCATTCAGTTTGAGGAGCAAGATGGGCGTGGCACTCCAATGCAGCCCCCCAAACATCAGTGTCAGCGACTCTGCACTTTGAATGCACACCTTGGTGAGCATCAACACACACACAAAAGTATAAGCCCTTGGCCCCACCAACACCAAGAACCCAGCAAGGAAGTTCCCTTGATCCCCCCAGTTCCAGCTGTGACCTCCAAATGTCCACCTGAAGGTGGTGGACAATTTATGGCAGAACCGGAAGTGCGCAGCCTGACAGTGACAACTTGCTCTAGGCCTTGCCAGTCTGGCAACAGGCGACCCTGGGTTTTGGCATAGGGCTTTCCACCAGCTCACTGGGAACCAACAGGTGTGTTTATAGTAGAAAACAATGGAAATGGCCCCAAGGCCCACTCCTAGTAAAGGTCAGGAAACCATGTGGTAAGCCCTTCACAACGGAAGCTCAGGCAGCTGGCGAGAGTTCAGCAGTGCAGTGAGGAAGGTGCTCCGGTTCACCTGTGTGCACGTCTCAGCTTAGCCACGAGAAGTGGGACTCAGACTCACGCAGCCCTGTCCACAGTGACTCAGGAGGGTGAGGAGTTAATTTTGTTTGAATCTTTATACTTTGCTGTATTCAACTTCTCCACAGTGAACATTATCACTCTTAACAACAGGTAAGCTGTCTGCAGCTGTCAGAGGCCTCCGCATATTGTCACAGCACTGCCCCAGGACAGAGGTCACACACTGGGTGACAAGAGTCATCGGTGTGGAGGTCTCTCCAAGTCAGCTGATCTTACCTTCCTTGTCCATGCGGAAACCAAACTCATCATAGCGGAACTCGGGCTGCTCCACTGACTCTTCCTTCTAGAACCAGCCATAGGAAGAATGGTGGGCTCACACCTTCTACACTCTGCCTTTAAGACTCAGATCTAAGGAACACCCATCCTTCCACAAGGTGGTCCCCACAAAGCCAATCACAGGGGCCCCTACCTCCTCTGAATTTGAGCATTTGCCTTGTTCTTCTCAGAGATGTGTGTTTTTCATTTGTGTCCCCCAGGAAATGAGTGGAGTGCCTTGACCAGAGGCCACGTGTGAGGCTACGTCAGGCGTCAGCACTGCACTGGCACTTTACCCTGAGAGACACTGCTCCCCCCCACCCCTGTGACCTTGGGGCCAGTGAAGGACAAGCTCTCTAGATCATATGCGGCTATCGGAGTGACAGTGAGGACTCCAATACTTTTGGAAGAGTTTATTTCTGATTTTTTTCTAAAACTAAAATTTTAATTCTATGAGTACCACAATGGCTAAAGTTCCCTTTTGCTGGCCTGTGCTGGTCCTCCAGCATCACTCCAGGGCTCTTTACACAATGTAATGTTTGTTGTCCAGTACTGTCAAATCAGTTCTGACTCATAATGACCCTGTGTAGGCTTTCCAAGGAGCAGCTGGTGAGTTTGAACCACCAACCTTGTGGTTCAAACCGACCTTGTGGTCCAGTGCCTTACCCCACAGTGCCACAGCAAGACTGAGTGGTGCTAATTACATGTGCAGTGGTAGAGCCCAGAAAAGATGAGGGGCAGCTGTGTTTGGTAACACTTCCTTCAAGATGGCATTTTGGGAGGAGTGGTCTTCTAGCCTAATGGAATCGTGATGCCGTCTTTGGTAGTGGCCCATGCCCCTTTGAGAACATTGTGTATGGAGTAAGCCACCACTCCCAGGGACCATCAGTAGACAAGCCGCTCTACCTGAGTACACTTAGCCAGGAGCTCCTGGGGCCAGATGCTCGGGGTCAGGGCTGAGAAGGGGCCACCGGCAGGTGTGACGCCTCCTAGGATCCAAGAGGGACAGGCACAAGAGACCCAGGAAAGAAGCATATTGCATTCAGAAGCAAAATTCAAGTCAGACCATCACTCCCACTCCCTGGACCATGGATGGGGATGGGTGGGTAGGGAGAGGGGCAGACACCTCCTGGACATGTGTGGGGAAAGGAAATAAAAAAGAAGCTAAGAATGAAACTTTGCTAGGGGCTGGGAGGGGAGCTGAGTAATGGCCCAAGCAACCAGGCTTTCCTCTCTCCACAGAAGGTTCCCTCTAGCACGTTCCATCCCCATCTCCCCCAGCCTCAGACCACACAGAGTCTGAGGGCCTTGACCCTACTTCCTTCTACCTGACATTGTGCCCACGGCTAGAAGTTTTACTCTCCCAGTATCCTCGAGCAGGAAGGCTCCTCAGGCATCATGTGGTCCCCATTCATCTACCTGCTGGGAGAGCAAAAAGGAGAGCAATGGAGGCAGCCCCTCTGGGAGTCTGTAATTGCTAGCCTGGAGGCAGTGGGACAGGAAGTCCTGGCCATCGTCCAGCAAGGGAAGGGAGATGTCCAGTGAGCCCCCTCTTACTAGTTCTCTTTCCAGAAACTGAACTGTCAGAGTTTGAAATCCCATTTTATTCCCCTTCCCACAAACCCACTTCCTAACACTCCCCTGGAGGGGAGAGCCCAGAGCTCTGCAGGCTTGTCCTGGCCACAGCCAGGCCAGGGAGCAGGGAGGAACACATCCTGCCAGAGTTGGGGTTTGTTTAGTTCGTAACGCGGTGGAGAACCTAATGTATCCTGATTCTTTTCCCCCCTGACGATCAGATGATGAGACTGTCACCACAGTTTTGAGAAACTGTGATCTGTGATAGCTGTATGATTCTACAGAACCAACATCATGATTTATGTAACTCGTCCTTGAATAATCAGAATAGGCTGTTTTTCACTATCAATAGTTTTTCGCTACTTTTATTCACTGTGAATAGCAGTATTTCATGGTTTTTTCACTATTACAAATAAAGTTACAATAAAATGTAATTAAAATATGGGGGGAACATGAGGAGGCTTTCAAAAGTTTGTGGAAACATTTCATGATCTTTTTATTCCATTTCCACTAACTTTTGGAAGTCCCCTTATATACGAGAAAAAAGTATTATGGAAACTTAGTATTATGGAACTTAGATCCTCAACAGTGATACAGAGACTAGAAATCGAACATCAAGAAGATAAAAACCAGACAACAAAGATACGAGAGACCAATGAAAACAGACACAGATGAGAATTCTGTTAACCCTGAAGGTCAGAGGGGAGGTTAGCAAAGTGGAAGGGGAGCTTGCTGGGAGGAAAAGCAGGGACAGTGAGAGAGGGGGCCAGACATGGCGGGGTCCTATTGAACTTTTGCGGGCAGCTTTGGTGATAGAAGGTGGCCTGGCCACGCAGATTCGCGCAATTCCTCTTTTCCCATGCTCCCCTGGTACCAGAGGAGAGGCCAGCTCCCATGCTTATCCACCCCAGATCAGACCCTGCTCTTGGGGGAGTTTGGAGCTGCGGGGTTGTGAACCACGCTAGTATGAGGTGCCGGGGGGGCTGGACCCAGGCAGATTCCACTCCAGCCTATAGAACCCACAGAGCCACCAGACCAGCATTAGTCTAACAGAAACCCCATAACCATCCACCCTGGCCTCAGCTGCCCTGTGGTCCTGACAGACACTGAACCAGCTCCATCCAGAGCCTCCAGAATTGCCTGTGGATTGAGTGCCCTGAACAGAGACACCACCGAGGCGGACAGACCTCCATCTAGGGCTGGGGCCTCTCGGCTGGCAGGACCCCCACCGGGGCAGCAGGTGCACTGGTTTTGGGTTTTTTTCTTGCATTGTTTTTGTTCATTTCTTCTTTCTTCTTCTTCTTGAGTTTTATCTTTTCTAGCTCTGCTTTTATTTTTCCTTCTCTTCTATTTCTCATTTCCCCTCTTTTTCTCTCCTTTTGCTCTTTCTTCACTTGTTGTTGTTGTTGTTATGTGCCGTGGAGTCGGTTCCGACCCATAGCGACCCTGAACAGGGTTTCCGAGGCTGTAAATCTTTACGGGAGCAGAAAGCCTCATCTTTCTCCCGCGGAACAGCTGGTAGTTTCGAACCGCTGACCTTGAGGTTCGCAGCCCTATTCGTAACCACTACGCTACACTACTCTCTACTTTTCCTTTTTATCTTCCTTCTAACTGGTTTTTCCAAATGGGTTGTTTTTTTATAATTTAAAAAAATTTCTGCCTTTCATTTATTCTCCTATAGTTTCATTTTCCTGTCCCCTTTCTCTTTTTACTTATTATATTCTTTTTTTTTTTTTCCTGGTTGCTGCCTGTTTTTATTTTGTATCCTTTATTGTTTCCTCTCTTCATTGTTGGCTGCTTGTTTATTCTGTTTTATTTACTTATTTGTGTGTGCATGTTTTCTCTTGTTGCCAAGCCTGACCGGAGATGGTAACCGTGCCCACAAAGCCCAGACACAACTGTACCCTCTGCAGCTCCACCCACTGGGCAAGAGCCAATAGCAGCCCGCATATCACCTGACCCAGGATAGGCAGCAGCCAGCACCAGCCACGCCCACACAAAACTCAGTTGCAGGACCCACTTCTGTTCTCTAACTGCACACACAGAGGGCAGCTGGTGAGAACCTCCACAAACATTTGTCAATTAAATGCAGATACAACAATGTCCTGGACACAACAGACACTTTTAGTTCAAATGAAGAAAAAAGAGAGAATGGGATTTTCTGAAGAAGCAAAGGTAATGGAAATAACTGAAAATGAATAAAAAAGAAAATTTAGGGACCTTCAAGGGATTCACTGAAAGATTGAGGAAAGCAAGGAGGACAACAACAAAACTTTGGAAAAATTCGGGAAAACACTACAAGAACAGACAAGACAAAATAAACGCAAATTTAAAAATAATACAAAATCTGTGCTTAGAAACTAATTCTAAGATTTTCAGAAATCAACAATACATTGAAATGGCAAAGAAGGAGATTTGAAACAATGGAAGCTTGATAAGTGACTTGGAGATAAACTTCTCAATACTAGCACGCTAGAAGAACAATCAGAAAAACAGAATGAAAAAAGCCAAAGAAAGCCTAAGAGTTATGTGGGACACCATGGGGAGGACTAACTTATGGCTGGCTGGAATATTCCAGAACAGGGAGACACAATAAGAAGCACAGAAAACTGTTGAAGAGTTGTTGGAATAAAACTTCCCTAATATCATGAAAGAAAAGAAGATAAACATACAAGAAGCTGAACGAACACCAAACAGGATAGGTTCCAAAAGAAAATCACCAAGATACACCATGATCAAACTTTCAAAAAATTAAAGACAAAGAGAGAATCCTGAGAGCAGCTTGGGAAAAACACAAAGTTACCTACACAGGAGATCCAGTAAGACTGAGCTCTGATTTCTCAGCAGAAACCATGCAGGCAAGAAGGCCATGGGATGACATATACAAAACTCTGAAAGAAAATAAAATTAACACCCAGCAAAGCATTACTCAAATATGAAACTGAAATTAAAGCAATTTGCAATAGCAGACTAATTCTACAAAAAAATACTATAGGGTATTCTTTGGACTAAAACCCCAAAACAACAGACAACAACCTGAGATTACCACTCATGACAGCACTCCCCAGAACTCAATCCAGATACAGAAGTATTTAAAGTAAAACAAACTGACAAGACTGAAACTAGGGAACCAGAGAGATCAATGTATAATGAAATCAACTACAAAACAAAAAGAGGGAACAGTATAGATATAAAATTTCTAAATGACAAAATAGATCTCAAGCTAAAAAGACTGTTTTAAGTAGGAGGGGAAATTAACAAATTATAGGGTCACCTCAACATTAATACACCTTCACATCAAAGTAAAGAGGAAAATCAGAAAGCTTTAGTAAACATTAGCACAGCAGACATGAAAATGAAAAGAGAACCCACAGGCAAAATGAACTCAGCACAGAAAATGACGTGGAACACAGAAA